GTAGGCAGATGTTGTTGTTTGATGATGTAAAGGTATCGTTGTAGGATATAAACTGTTCCAAGTAAAGCTGTCTTTTACAATTGACTGATGGTGATTTTGTCGTCATTATTATCATCATCATCATCATCATCACCATCATCATCATCATCATCATCATCATCATCATCTTTATATATTTATTTTTGCAGTACTGAGTGTTCAGCACGCTATTCCAATCATAATGGGAGCCAATATTGGGACGTCAGTTACAAACACCATTGTGGCACTCATGCAAGCAGGAGACAGGAACGAATTTAGAAGGTATTGGATTCTAATCTTAAGGCATGCTAATGACAATAATGATAATGGTGTCACTGCCAAGAAAGAAAATCCAAGAAACCTATAAAATTAGTACAAACCGTAACGTTTGTACATTCTGTAATAATGCAATACATCTATTTCATAAAAAGCTAATATAGTTACTGCTACCTAAACATTCTAGAAGGCTATGCATACAGAGAAGGAATCCTATAGATATGATGATGGTTTTGGTTTATACAAATCATAGTCCCTACATACATGTCCATGTCTTTAAGCTTATTGTATTCATACATAAGTCTAACTTTTTTGGATGGGTGGGTACGTTCATGAGAGCTTATTATGGTAGTCTCACAGAGCAGCCCCCTTTCTACCTTCCTAGAATGCTTCCTATCTCCTCAGCTTACCTTTGCCTTTTTTTCTGAGCAGACGAATAAAATAGCTGCCTGCTATTTTTTTTTCGAAGAAAGCCTTTGGGATCTATATGGAACCCATAGATCCTGCTGGAAATACGGTGATGATTGAGGGTTTCCTTTGCATTGTGCTAGCTCCCTGTTTTATTATTATTAAAATATGCATTTTAAAGGAAAGGTTGGGCATGGAACCTGGTGGGCATCTGGGGAGGTTTCTACAGGCACATTGGTGGCCCTAAACATCATTTGGGGACCAATAAATACATTAGTACATGCAATTGTGAATCTTAAGAATCCAGAGTCCATTGGATTCTTAAGATTGCTGAATCTCTTCCTGAATTGCTTCCTGAATCTGTTGTAGCCCAGAAAAAGGTAACTCAGTTTTTATTTAATAGATTGCAAATGACTAAGGACTACTCTCAGATTAGCCTAATTTTGTGTTGACACGGTATAGATACCTGCCACACTGATGGGAAGTTAGATATGGCATAGCTCTATTTCTTCCTTGGTTGTTCTTTCTCTTTTCCCCTTTTGACTAGTTGTTTGTGGTCAAATGAGTTGTGGGATCTCAGCCATTGCCTTAACATATTGTGCGAATCAGCCCATCACAGTGGATTCTATGGGTTCATCTGGGTGCACATAGCAAGTCATGGGAACCCAGCAACTGAGTTTTATTAAGCTGGATTTAGTTGGATTCCCTTCACCCTCATGACAATAGCTATACTGTACGGTGATGCAGGCGAAGGGAACACAGCCCCAGGCCTTCCCTTAGGTTGGCAGAAAGCCAAAACAAAAATATCTGGGTTACTTATGATATATAATACCTTAGCTTTTCCTGTACTCTGCTTTCAGCAGCCTATTATCTCTTTATTTTAGTCATACATTACAGAAAGCTCTGACAGTTATGCAATTAAAAGGATATTGGGAAGCATGAAAATTGGCTGCCTTACATCTACCAAAGCAAATTATAATTTTTCTTAGCATATTCTTCATTGTTAAAATATTGCATAAACTCAAAAGCCTACTAATTCAAACTTTTTGCTCCCTTGTGGCAATCTATTGAACATCTTTTCCCCCCCGGTGTACAGGAATGAAATTGGCCTTTGGTTTACCTGCGTGTTTTAGCATTTACCTCTTCCAGTTCTTTCAGAACTCGTTTTTGTAGCTAAGAGTATAGGTCTTCGCTTATGCTCCTGCAAACAAACCCAGTTGACTTTCCTCTGAACTTTAAGCAGAGGATCAACATGAAGAATTATCTAAAAAATGGTTTGCTCAAAAGCTATTCCTTGATCTAGGCTGTAATCTGCCATATGTCTGTATGGAGCAGGTAGCATATGAATTTAATAAATAAATAAATCTTCCCTGGAATCATACTATCGCTGAGGAACATTGAATTTATTTTGTGTATATCTTCAGCTCAGCTGAAGCTATATTCAGAATGAGTGCTTTCATAAACTCAGAATCCACCTGAATTTGGGAAGCTTTTTATTATATAATCACCATTCATTCAATTTTACCAGAAGAACAAATGATATCGATTTCCATTGTTTTTCCCCATTGTATGCTCCATTCTTACTCCAGAAAATCCATAAAGCCGGAATATTGAAAGACAGGACCAGGAACCCTCTGTCTGGCTATGCTCTCAATCCTTTTTCTTAAGAAAAAGAATACATTATTTTGCTGAACCTCTTTTGATTTCTTTGACTGTCTTTCTGCTGTACTTCTTCTGATCACCCTTGATTTGTTTGTTTTTCTGTAGGGCCTTTGCTGGTGCTACAGTCCATGATTTCTTTAACTGGCTTTCAGTATTTGTACTATTGCCCATTGAAGTTGCGTCACAGTATCTCTACCGCCTTACCAACCTTATTGTGGACTCGTTTCAGCTGGAAAGTGGGGAAAATGCCCCTGAATTACTGAAAGTCATCACAGATCCTTTTACAAAACTTATCATCCAGGTAAATTCTTTCCTTATTTATTTAATGTTTGGCTAATCTGACCTGTCTTGGTCCTTCACTAATGTAATGCTTGGAATTCAAAAAGCACTCCATAGATTTTGTGAATTGTATTTTAGAGAAACATGCTGCAAAGAACGTGCAAATGACTGTCTTTCCAACATCGTGACGCAAACCCTGTAAGTCTTTACCCATGTAGGTCTTTTTAGGTTCTTATTACCTAATGTCAGACTCATGGAATCTTCATGGCCTCATAGGACATCTTGTTCAATCCTACTCAACGTGGTAGCCTCTGTTTGAAGACTTTCAGAAAATGAAAACCTACTACCTTAGATAATTAGTATCGTTGTCTAACTGCTATTTCAGACTAATCATATCCTCTTTTTTAAAGTCTTCCTACAATTTATTTTTCATATTCTTGCTCCTCTATGTTTCCTCCCTTGATGAAGAAAGGTTGAAAGAATTATGTGATGCTAATACTGATCCTGTGATTTAATCTAATGCAATGAACATTGTTTCACACTGGCAATCATCTTTTGTTGTGCAGGATACATTTCCTTCTGTTTTGGTACCCAGTGAATCCTAATAAATGTTTGGAAAGACAACACAAGAGCAACTTCATCTATTGAAGTGCCACAATGCATGTTCTGTAACACTGGACTCAAGTCTATTCTAATCTTCAAAGCTTGTTCTGGAGATCAGAATAAGCTTTAAATAAAGATGTGTCTTGGTTACGGTATAAGATGTCAAAGAGGGTAGTTGCCAAGACCAATTTGTTATAAATTATATTTTATTTTGATGTAATGTTAGCTTTTCAAATTTGATGAGTCATATTGGGTTGGCATTTTGGAAGATGCAAGGCAAGACAAAAGTAATCTGATTACATGTGCATTCTTAAATTGACACAATAAATTTTGTTTCTATTTTGTTTCCTTTGATTAATAGCTTGATAAATCAGTGATAAACGCAATCGCTGTAGGAGATGAATCAGCAAAAAATAAAAGCCTGGTGAAAGTTTGGTGCAAAACTAAAACTAATGTGGTGAGTATTGAGTCAAGGAATCATTTAATGGAGATAAGATGCTGGCTTATCATTGAATAAGTCACTTCAGTGATGTTTGTTTCCTTCTGTTAATGTTTCCTTCTGATAACTAATGATTGAATGAAGAGGGGTGATACTGTATTATGTATTCATTCTTCTAGGAACCCCAAACTAGGGTTGTTTTTATTCTTTTGGAAAGTGTATATATGACAATGTAATATCATACTGAAGCTTGGTCTACTGAAATCGGAATATATGCAAACTATACTGTGTCCAGTTTAAATCATACTGAACAGTATAAAAATTCAAATAGTAGAAAAGCTAATATCATAACTATCTTCACCTGTAGTTATTATTATACGGGGATCTGGAATAGAAGCTCATGGCATAATCACCGTTCAAACTGATTCATATTCATCAATCTGGTGTTATTAGTACTGAGAGCCAGTTTGGGATATATTGGGAGACTGAGTTTTAGTTCTGCCTTAGGCACAAAACCAACTAAGAGACCTTGGGCCAGTCACACTCTCTCAGCCCTAGGGAGGAAGCAATGGCAAACCTCTTCCAAAAATCTTGCCAAGAAAACTTCAGGGACATACCTAAATGGTTGCCAGAAGTCAAGACTGATTCAAAGGCACCAATAAAAAAAGTTAATTGATCTTTCATCTTGATGGGTGAGGTTGGGAGGCAGAAAGAGGGCCAGTATGGAGACATTTCCATCTTTTTCACTGCTTTGATTAATTCTTTGTGGCTGTCATGTTTTTGAATGATAATAGAGCCTAAACTAGCATAATATGAATGAACTGGGTTTCATTGGGCTACTTTATGTCAATGCCTAGATTGCATTGAATACGACCATCCCACCATCCGAAAATTGCACATCTTCAGACCTTTGCTGGACCAATGGAAACATGACCTGGACTGTCAAAAATGAGTCGGTAAAAGAAAATATTGCAAAATGTAAGGAAAAAGGTTGCTTACCTTTCTTTGAAGGTTTTTGAAAAGAGAGAGAGAAGTTCCTTTTTCAAAGCAGGAGGTGATCAGATATTACGAAAGGAAAATGGATATGATAGGTCGGATAGAGGGCTAACCGAAGACATACTGCTGCCTAAAATAAAAAACCAGGTGATGTCTGTCATGTTAGAAAGCCAACTGAACCACTGTTGGCTTTGGATGGTGGCAAAAAGTGAACATCTTCCACTGTAGTCACATGCAACAGGTTTGTTTAGGAGATACAAGATGGGCCATATGACCAGAAACACCACTATTTGGTACCCAATTCTGGCATCTCCTACCTGAGGCAGCTACCCCAATCTGCCTCATGGTTGAGCTGGCCCTAGCTGCAGGGTCCATTGCGTATGTTATTCTCCCCAAATAGAGAAAAAGAACAGGAACTGGAGCTGTTTTCTCCTTGTCTGAATGTGTAATAGCACATTCAGCACACCTATATTATTATGGGTTTCTATGGGTTTGATTCAAAGGTGGTAGTTATATCATCCTACAGTTGGACCAAAATTGAACTGATGGTATGCTATGCATCCTGTCATCTTGACCAAGACATTTTCTAGCAGGAACGCTGTGGCAGTGCTTCAACAAACCTCATTAACAGAGGTCTACTGGACACTGACTGATGTCCTGGATCTTCTCTATGGTCTCTTCTATAGTTCATGTGTTATGATGCTCCAGCCACTGATTTTCCCTATAAGTTCCAGACATTTTCATATTATTTGTGTAGCAACAGTACACAAGGACTGTATGTTAGTACAGTATAGAAGTCAGCTTGTAATCAACTGTGGCCAATCTCCCAGAAGCTGAGCAGGGTCAGACCTGGATACTACTTGGAGGGGAGACCACTAAAAAATTCCAGGGCTGTAGGTTAGACAGAGTAGTTGAGGGGGGGGGAGGACTCAGAAGGTGACTAAGCAATTCTGTATAATTGCCAGCAAAGCTGCACAAACGTGTCTATGAACCTCCAGGAACTGAGTTCAACTTGAGAGAACAATGTCTTCATTTATGTGTATAACAGCTTCTCAATAATTACATTTTCACCATTGAGATACGTGTAGTCCAGTCCAAGAATGTTAGAGATTTGCCAGGGGAAGGCACTTTAATCTTGTATAATATATTTTAAAACATTTCCCCTCTACTTCCTCCTTGACCTCAGACAGGTGTGTGTGTGTGTGTGTGTGGGGGGGGGAATATATCCAGGCTTTTGGAGAAGGATATTTTTTACTGAACACTGAACACATCTGCGTAGCTATGAAGAACCCCACCACCTTTATTTTAAAACCTGCATACTTTCCTAGTTGCAGAACTGTGCAGATGCTTGCTGGACTTAAAAAAAAATATGCAACAGGAATGGAGAAGAGACTAAAATGGGCTGTTTTGATTCCATAGGGGACTACTATCTGCACAGAACCACTGCCCGGATGCAAGAAATGTTTGTGTGGTTGTTTCACTTTTTCAAAAAGTCTAAAAACGTGACCACCAGCAACTGCATTTTAAAACTAGCCTAAGAAACCAGAAGGGTTCCCAAGTAAGCCCTGTATTCTAAGGCAGTTAATTAGGAAATTAATATCACATTATGTTGTTTTAAGGGTAGAATTCACCTTATAATTAGCTGGCAGGCAAAGTGCTGAGGACCAGTCCAGGTATTCTTGCTCCTGTACATGTTGCCAGAAATAATTGTGTTGGGCAAAGGTAATTATCAGTCTCCAGCAAAATGCAAAATACAATAATATGCAGGAAGAGCTTGTAAGAGTTTTTTCTTCCCTTCCCTTTGTGAAGTGCTATGTGATAGCATCTGAAGTAATACTTACAAGGAAAAGGAGGAAGGAATAGTTCCAACCAAGGGTGTCTGCAGTGGTCAGAAAAGTCAAGATGGCCACCACAATGGTGCAATTAAAGTATTGCACCTAAAAATATGGGTGGAGCTGTGATCATATTGTTGCAGCTACCATCTTGACTTTTTTGACCCTGACCATCAACTTTTCTGCCGCAATGGGAAATAAGTAATTTAATACTTGTTTAATTGACCTTTCTCCTTTCATAGGCAAGCACATTTTTGTAGACTCACAGCTCCAAGATCTTGCCATTGGTCTTATCCTGCTTGCATTGTCTTTGCTTGTCCTGTGTACTTGCTTGGTGTTGATTGTTAAATTGCTGAATTCGGTCCTTAAAGGACAAGTAGCAAACGTTATCAAGAAAACACTCAATACTGGTAAGTATTTCTTCTGTTTTTAAATAATAGAATATTTTGTCTAGAGCACTGTTTCTCGAACTTGGCACCATTAAGATATGTGGACTTCAACTCCCAGAATTCCCCAGCCAGTATGCTTATTAGAACAACATTTAGATCAGTGTTTTTCAAACTTGGCACCTTTAAGATGTGTGGACTTCAACTCCCAGAATTCCCCAGCCAGTATGCTTATTAGAACAACATTTAGATCAGTGTTTTTCAAACTTGGCACCTTTAAGATGTGTGGACTTCAACTCCCAGAATTCCCCAGCCAGTATGCTTATTAGAACAACATTTAGATCAGTGTTTTTCAAACTTGGCACCTTTAAGATGTGTGGACTTCAACTCCCAGAATTCCCAGTCAGCATGCTGGGAGTTGAAGTCCACACGTCTTAAAGGTGCCAACTTTGAGAAACACTGCTGGCCCCATTAATATTTAGAGATCGCTTTAAATCATCATGGCTTAAAAAAGTCCTAGATAAAATTCAATTGCTGGGCTTCTCTATGGAAAGTCTGTGCTCATTAGGTTTTGATAATGCCAGAACCGCCTTTAAACAACAAATTTGGGATATGGATCTCCAAACAAATTTAAGTAAGGTGCTGCTTCCCAATATTTCTCATTTTCTCCCGAAAGGGTTCATTGCAGCCTCCTATTTATCATCCGTTACAATTTTGAACCCCTTCATGGATCACTGCCTTGTCGTGGCGAAGGGGCTTGCGTAACTCAGTGAA